TTTTTAGTAGGATTTATTCAGAAAATGAGCGAGGTGGACCCAATCGTCAGATTAAATCACGTTTATCTGCGACGAAACCGACTTGTGAAGACTCTAGAACACTCTAGAAGGAAAACCACCATGACCCATCCCGAGACCTGACAGGGTAGGGCTGGCTGGCCCCACCTGCAGGCCGACCGGTATGTGGGCCCCACCTGTCAGCCTCTGCTTCAACATCAGTTCTCCACCGCCTCTAAGGATTAATCTTACACCATTGCTCAAGGTCGGTTCGATTCGAGGGCACAGATTTGACAATGCCATGGTTTAAACTAACAAATTCCATGAGTTTTGGTGAATCTGTGTTTTCAGCAAGATTTATTCAGAAAATAAGCAAGGTGGACCTAATCGTCAGATCAAATCACGTTTATCCACGATGAAACCAACTTAGGAAGACATACTCTAGAAGCATCTAGAAGACAACACATCATGACCCAACTCGAGACATGGCAGGGTGGGCCGACCGGACCCACCTATAGGCCGATCGGCTTGTGGGCCCCGCATGTTAGCCCCTCCTTCGTACATCGGTTCTCCACCGCCTCCTAGGTTCAATCTACGCCATTGCTCAAGGTTGGTTCCTATTGAGGGCTCAGATTTGATGTTGCCATGGATTCATGGGCCCACAGAACCCATGGTTCCCCCTATAAATAGCACCCCATACCCCTCAGGGCATCCTCCATCATCTCAATCAAGAGAGATCATCATCATTAGAGAAGAGAAGAACCTCAGAGCTCCATAAATAGTCATAGACATATCTAGCTAAGTTAGATCTAGAGAGAGGCAAGCCATCTGCTTGGATTCATGATATTGTCAAGAGCGTGGCTTGGTAAAGCCTTTTGTATCCTCTCTTGTATCTTTAATTATTCATGTTTGCTACATTTGCTATGACATTGTTCCTAATATTATTCATGTTCTTAGTTATTATGTTCATCGTCTACTTTGATTACATGCTTAGTATAGCTAGAATTATCATTATGTTTATGCATAAGTTTGCAAAGCGCTCACTCTTATGTACGTACGGGGTGAGTGGTCGACATTGTGTAAGCATGGTTCTTATACGTTGTTTACCTGTAGATGCACCCTACATTCTGGGCTATGTGATAGATCGCGAGTGTGATATTCTCGTTGAGTTCTTTGTAGTCCACTCCCCGAATATAAGCCAAGTAGGACCTAGTTGCGAAGGAAGTTAGGCTCTGTTCTTGATCTTCCTTAGTAATATCCCTTATGTATAGATATGAAGTTAATCCTTTGCCATGATTATTAAGTATAATTGCACTAATCAGTGTAAGCTTTGACTTCTAATTAAGAATGACTGATGAATTAGTTTCTCTATTGTATCTACTTAGTCTTGCTATTGCTATCCTAAGGAGTACTATGAGTGTTCATTTATCATTTATCAATTATATCCTATCTCTTGATTTACCCCTATTTAGAGTAGAAGGTTGGTTGGTTCATCCATCGGTATAAGTTATCAATATATCTCCTTTGTCAGTCCTTCCCTGAGGTAAAAATATAAATAACGATACCTGGAATACTCCCGGGTGAAGTGCTACAATGGTATATCTATGCGCTTGCAGAATTCTTTATATATATTCTTTCTAAGTCACAATTAAATACCAAAGTACTTCTTGAGTGTCATTATTACTAGTGATGCTAAGAAGTACCAACAATCATTCACCAGAACAATCCGCACATGCATGAACTTAGCCATTTTTCTAAGTGTTTCCGCAGATGGGCCGACGATATGGTGGAGGGTCTATAGTTGCAAGAATTGAGAAAGGCGCTCTTGGGTTCTGACAAAGAGATATTGAATTTTTACTGGTCAATCCGGTGTTCTCGCGGTTGGTTCACAGGAACATCAACTATATAGGCTAAGTGTTGGTTGTGTTGTGCTCTGTGGGTGTTCTCGTGGATGGTGTGGGGTTCTAGCAATCGGTCCACGGGAACAGCGACAAAAACTATGTTGTACATGTTCTTGGTATTCTTGTTTGTTGTGACTTGGCTTGTGGATGATGTTTACCATGCATGTGCAGGGGGTATCTAGGGGAGCGTAGGTGATGTGTTGGGCTAGTGAATGAAATCTAGAGTTTGAGCTCTAAATGCAAAGTGAAACTAGGGATTGGAGATTAGCTTCAACCATGAAAGAGAGAGAAATCCATAAACTTGGGCATGACAACTTATCTTTGAGATTTTGTTGACCCTTGGGCCACCAAGGCCATGCTTGAGCCTTGTTCTTCCTTGCTTCCAAGTGAAAGAGATGAATTTGGCCTTATCATGATTTTCTTGCAAAAATCATTAAAATTCCAATTGAGGGTAATTAGAGAGATGCATGAGAGGATTAAGTAAGAGATGGCATTATTGAGCTTACACTTGAGATGATGGAGTAAATAGAAATCTTCATCTTGTATACGTGCATGGAGAAATCAAGGTTTATGGTTCGAGAGATGATTTCAAGAAAATGGAAAGGGAATTTCTTGATCTCACCCAAGAATAGAGATGGAGATGAAGATCTCCACCTTCTTGAAATGGTGATGCATGAACACTCCTTGATCTTCTTCTTTTTCTTCTTTCCTTTCTCTTCCTTCTCTTCTCCTTTCTTTCTTTCATATTGTTCTTCACTTGAGGAGAGAGAGAGAGGGAGAGTGTGGAATGAATGAGTGGGAGAGTCGGTGGGAGTGAGCTGGTTTTGCTGGTCTTGCTATCCAATTCATGCTGACATGTGGGTCCAAATGGAGGGAGAGGAAGACAGGTCATCGAAACTGAATCTGCTGAAGAAGTGATTGGGCACATGGTCCGTAGGATCACTGGACGGTCTGAGGGATCACTGATTTTGGGAAAATTGATTTAGGGAAAGGGGTTTGATCTAGTGGCTTTCATCTTCATTCAAGAGGTTGATCTCAACCATTGGAGAATTAGCAAACACCATACCTTTGGAACAATATCTTGGAGAATTTTTGTCGGATCAATTAAAGAGTTGACTAGGGTTGACCCTAGTTGAGTTAGGCTGATTAGAGGGAAGTGATAGAGTTGGATAGCGAATTTGGAGTCCTTCTCCTAATAGAGAATGATATTGGTCATTGGGAAAGGTAATGAGACTGTTCTTCGGCAAGGAGGGCCTGTGCAAGGTCATCAAGTAACTTGAGATAAGTTGGTTCAAGGGGTTCAAGTCAAGGTATAGGGTGAGGTTGGTGAGAGTCTCAGGGTATTAAAGACAGTCTTAAAAATATTTTATTTGGAATGACCATTGGACAGTGACAGTAAATATTTGAATTAAGTCTTTTTTAATTCATAAATGCTTCGTATATTATATTTTCATGTGTATCTCTGGTATATCCCGTAAAACAACTCTGGAGCTCCAAAACTTATGAAACTTATTAAATTAAGACCCATCTTACTATGATGCATTATGCAATATTGTCATTTTATTATATTTTTGCCATCATATTATTTGAGTTAAGAACCACTAATAGACATATGATAATTTTGGAGTACCTTTTGTTGACTTGCGGCTATATATTAGTTGGAAGTTGGTTATATAATTGTGTTCTTTATTAGTTTATTTGTATATATGATCAATTATATGTTGCTAATTATCTATTGTATATTATAATATCGCACTAGTTTGAAGTATCTATGGGCGGTTCATTTCATCCCGTCCAAAACTATCGGACCAGCAGATCAACGAGTTCTATGGTAGACCCATGAATCATCGAACCGAGGACCTCACCGGTTCAATCTCCGATCTGATCCTAGTAACTATACTTTAATAAGAGAGTAGAATTATAATGTTTTATACATCTATAAAGGGAGTCACTGAACTCGATATTTAACTGTATCGATGCATGAATAATATGAAAATTAAAATCATGATATATTTACAAGTAAAATACTTTAGTGCTTTGCAAAAAGAGAAAAACTATCATTTTAATTTGGTAGATACTTAATAGGACATTGCAGTATTATTACCAATATTAACTTATGTTTTATGGATATCACAGTAATCATAAAATAGACTAATTTTAAAATTTTATCGAAAGGTTAAAATATAAATAGGTATATATAATCTTGGTGCTTTTTTCTCATCAATGTTTGATAGTACTATTTTTTTCTCCAATCAAATATTTATTTTCAGGACCTAGTAATAAATAAAAAAGGCTCCCTTCAACCATATAACTTTTGCCGACCACCGTCGTTCCTCTCTTCTCCAAATCCAAATTGGTAAATTTCCCAAATCCGAAGCCCTAACACCTGCATCCTCACCTAGTCGGTGCCGCCAGCCTCCCTTCTATTCTCCATTCTTTGCTCAGTCGGATAGCATCGGGTGGAGGGAATTCTGTTCGGACTTATTCGTCTTATCGATGAGGAAGCCTCAACTTGCTCGGGTTCTTAAATTTATGGAAAAACTCTAGATAACCCTTTCACCTATAACAGGGTGTCTAGTTAATTCCCTGAAGTGCAAAAATATCTGTTTGACATATTAAAGTTTTGCAAACAGGTTAAAATACCCCTCGTGGTGGTTTTACAGGGTGGTTTGGCTTACGTGGACATACAGCCTGGCTCAGTTGGCCACGGTGGCCTTTGGGCCTTCAGGTACATGTGGCGCATAAGAGGCAGAATCCGTCTCCGTTCCGTGCGTCTCCTCGCCCAAATCCACCGCACAGCGTCTCCGCCGAAATTGCTCTGAGACGCCGCCGTGCCTGCGCCCTCGCCGGCAGCACGCCCCAACCCCCTCAGCGCGCCGCCGCCCCTTAGCAGCCGCCGCGGTCCCTTGTCACCGGAGCCTTCGCCCTCGCCTGTCCTGCAGCGCTGCCGCCGGGACGGCCGGGCGCCGAGCCCCCTCGCGCTGCCGCCGGGACTTTTTCCTTAAATTTATCCTAGGCTTTCCTTGGCTTGAGCAATCAATCTTGAATGTCCCTTGCCGAGGACTAGGCATGTCTCATTATCACAACGGCGATTTTGAAGAGATGGAGGATGAGTACGACATGAACGAGGCAGTCGATGACATGGAGGGGGAGGATGAGTACCAAGAGCTCGTGGTTAGGGACTCTGATGCGGAGGAGGAAGACGATGCGGACCAATTGGTAGGTGGCTATTAATTTGAACGTTTTTCTTTTATCTTTGGGAGACATGTCTAGTAGTAGTACTTTGTGTGTGCTTAGTTTACTTGTAGTGGTTCTGCTAATAAACATAACCTTTTGAGGCTATGAAATTTGGTTGAGCTCATTTACTTAAATTTTAAACCTCTGAGGTGTGAATAAATGTGGCAACAAGGAGATGCATAGATATTAGATGATGTTGAACTAATGCTACAATTAGTAGGGTTACTGATGAAACATAATCTTTCGAAGGATATTGATAGTGCTGTCTGAATGCCCTATTCATTTTCCATGTGCCATTCCTCGACACCTTATTTTCCCTTTCTCTCAGCCTTACATACTTTGTTATTTGTTATATCTACAACTTTACATTACATTTCAGTGTTCATGTCGAACGCAAAGAAAAGATCGCTGAAATCTTAATTTATACAGTGTTTTAGTTCTGAGCAACTGAAATTGGAGTCAAGAATATGCCATAGAGCTTGTATCTACATGAAGTTTTGTTTCAATTACTTTTACAGTTCATGGAATTATCTGAAATCTCTATTTTATTTAGCATAAGCTCTCCGACACATCAGCAGCAGATGCAAGAAGTGGGAAAGATATTCAAGGAATACCCTGGGAGACGATAGAAGTCACAAGAGAAACATACAGGCAGGCCCGACTAGAGCAGTACAAGAACTACGAGAACATACCTAATTCTGGAGAAGCAGCAATGATGGTACAGTTTGTAAATCAACCTAAAAAAACTTATCATATTGGGATTTATATTGGTGTTGAAACAGGCATGCAAATCTACCGAGAAAGGAAGAACATATTACGAATTCAGACGAAATACTAGATCCGTGAAATCCACTATCTCTCACTTTCAGGTGAGTGCACTGACATCAGCACATGTGCATCTTGCCTTTGATTATTATGAAGGTAATTTTCTGTAAAATAATTACAAAAGGCATAATTAGATTGAAACTGTTATGACCGGCATCCAGTACTCCAGGCGAAGGCCCAGTAGTGGCTAGAAGAGGCCGGCGGGTTAGGGGGCTCAAGGCCCATATTTATCATATTTTACATAATATTAGAGTTATTTTCTATTATTATTATTCAGAGACATATAAATACCTGTAAACTCTATTGAGGAAAGTAAGCAGAAACAATTATTGTTTCTGGCTTCCTCAGGGAGCCGGGAGAAACCCTAGCCGCCTTCTCTCTTCCGTGAACAGTACCGCGGCACTGTAGCGCCGGTACTGTAGCGCCGCCACCCTCTCCCTTCGCGAGATCACGGCGCCCCGCCGTGGTCCATCGCATGTTTAAGCCTCGGCCCCGATCACCCACCGCTACAACCCACGCTTCGGTTAGAGGAGGAACCTCGGTTCCTATCGACTTAGTACCGAGACCTTGTCGATCATGGACACCTCATTGTCTCCTCCGCCCACGGTATGGTTGTTCTGGAATCAATCGCAACAATGACCGGTGGAGACGACCTGGCGGTAGGCCGACAAATAAACGCGCTACAGCAGCTTAGGCGTCTCCGCCGGTGACAAAGAGAGTGCGCTTCTTCTATCATCACTCCCATAGAATCGAGTCGCGCCGCCAAGGGAACGGCACCATGCTCGCGCCGGAGACAAAGAACGGGTCGGCGTGGTTGTTGTTGGCCGTTCGACGGGCGGTAGGTCGTACCCCCCTTGCCGAGGTCCATCGCCGTCAAGGCCGCCTCATGCATCTGCCGGCGCATCTCCTGCGATCGGCGCGCGCGCTAGGAGGCGCGCGTCTTTGCGGCAGAATCGCACTGCCGCAGACCGACAATCACTCTTCGCGCAAAGCGCCACTTTGCACCGGTTCTTTGCCGCAGATGGCGATCTCGATCGCCGGTTGTGCACTGCGTGAATGGAGGCACCGCCACGCCGAGGACGAGGCTCGCCGATTGCGCGCCCGCGGATGAGGGCACCGACGCCGTTTGGCGCCAATGTTATGGACGAGGGTCGCCATCCACTCATCGAAGGCGCCTGTGGAAGGTGCGAAGCTGCTTGCGTTAAAAAGGGTGCCACGATGGGCCGTGGGCGGTGGTGAACACGGCGAGGCTGCGGAGGACAGGGCGGCGCAGAGCTAAGGGTGTGTGTGCCGAAGCGGCGTGGAGATGGGCACGGCGGCGTAGAGATCCGGCCGGCCCGTGGGCAATGGCGGCCGAGAACGGTGGGGGAGGGGCTGGGCGAAGTCCCCCTAAGCCACTGCATGGGACGCGATGTTGCGGTTGATGTCGATGATCGCGACCGCCAAGGACTCGAAAGCGTGAGCGGTGCGGCAGACATCGTCGAGCCTTCCGAGACCTCGGAGGCGCGCAGATTGGAGCGCGGTGGAGGTAGATGGTGGTGGTTGGAAGGACACGGCGGCGTAGGATCCGGCCATGGCCTTCGATATCAGATGTTATGTGGCGGTTGGGATGGAGATGAGAGGGCGTGCTACAGTACCGTGGAGCTACGGTGTCCGCGGGTACTGTAGCACGCCCTCTCATCTCCATCCCAACCGCCACATAACATCGCTGGCCGTCGCCTCACGCCGGCAGAAGCAGTTGAGCGCCCGCCGCCAAGGGTCGTGCTTCAAGCCGCGACGAAAGCCCTATGTCCGGGGCCATGTGTGCCCCAATTTGTTTTACCTCGAGTTCACGGACTTGCCGACGAGGGCGGCGGGAGGTGCTCTGCCGCAGAAGCCGACGCAGACCGCCTTTCAGAGACAAGCGGTACGGGCCAAGGTGTGGCGGTGATGCGTGAGACGCCGCTAACGCCCTTGTCGTTTCTCTCCATTTGTTGCAGGAATCCGGCCGCCTAACGCCATGTTTGCTCTCCGTCACCGTCAAAGATGAGAGTTTCTCGCCTCCTCGACACCGGCTCCACTCATAATTTTGTCAAGGGGGCGTGTTGCGCCGTTTGGGCTTTATCTCACCGGGGTGACCACCTCCGTGTCACGATGTCGCCAATGGTGAGCACGTGGCGTGTGAGGGCATTGCTCGAACGTGCCCGCCCACATCGGGCGACGAGGACTTCACCATCACGTGTGTTGGCCTCAACTCGGGCGCCTTCGACTTCATCGCCGGCCGACTTCATTCGCACATTGGGCCCCGTGTTGTGGGGATCGCGACGCCTACCATGGCGTTACGGAGGGAGGCCGTCGCGTCGTACTGGCGTAGGCGTGCCCGCCCTCGACGCCTCTCCCACAAAGAATGGTGACCGCGGTCACGACCGACCCGCGGCTACCTCTCTCCGGATCGCTGTTGGCGCAAAGACGGTGACATCTTCGACGAGCCTCTTGGGCTCCTCCGCTAGCGCCCTACGACCACCGCATCCACTGCTTTGCCGGGACGGCCCCGGTGGCGAATGCGCGGCCTGCATCGATACTCGCAATTGCGGAAGGAGACGAGCTCGGCGCCAATGTGCGGCGATGCTTGCCCAAGGATCATTCGGCCGAAAGCACTTCGCCGCTCTCCGCGCTACCGTCCCCAGTGCGCGCAAGGCGGACAAGTCGTGGCGCTTCAGATCGACTACCGCTCCCTCAACGCCAAGACCTCCAAGGACAAATTCCCAATTCCGGTGGTTGACGAGTTGTCGGATGAGCTCCATGGGGCTCGCTTTCTTCACCAAGCTTGACATTCGTTCCGGCTATCATCAGTGCGCATGCACCCGGAGGACATCGACAAGACGGCTTTCCGCACCCATCGTGGCCACTTCGAGTTTTCGGTGATGCCATTTGGGCTCTCCAATGCCCCGCAACCTTCCAGCGCCGATGAATGACGCCCTTCGGCCTTACTGCGGCGGTTTGTCTTTGGTATTTTTGATGATATATTAATTTATAGTCCATCATGGGCCGAGCACTTGCAAAGATGTCAACATCGCCCTCCACGCGCTTCGGGTACACCACCTTCACTTGAAACGATCCAAGTGCTCGCTTGGCGATCGCCGCTGGCCTACCCGGGCCACGTGATCTCGAGGGCAGCGTCGCCATGGACGCCGACAAGGTCGCCGCCGTGGGCTGCGTGGCCTCGCCGGCGCCGCGCCTGCGTAACTGCGTGGTTCCTCTACCTCGCGGGCTACTACCGGAAATTCATTCAGACTTGGCATCATCGCCGCCCCACTCACGCGTCTCTTGCGGGGGACGCGTTTGTGTGGGACGGCGATGCCGTTGGCATTCGAGGCGCTCAGCCGCTTTGACCACGTGGACTGTTCTTCAGATGCGGACTTTACTAAGCCGCCGTGGTCGATTGCGACGCGTCCGGGCGAGGGTTGGCGCCGTCCTCCACCGTATGTCGGGCCCTCGCCTACTTCGGCCGTCTTCGCGTCCGTCACATCAACTGGCGGCCTATGAGCGGGGAGTTGATCGGCTTGGTTCAAAGCCGTTCGCCATTGGCGCCCATATTTGTGGGGGCGCCACTTTTTGGTTCGTGACCGACCATTCTGTTTTGAAATTTTTGCTTGATCAACGATTGTCTGATTCCGCAAAGATCAATGGATCGCAAGCTATTTGGTTTTGACTTTCGGTAGAGAGTACCGTCCGGGCCGCTTGAACATCGTGGCGACGCTCTCTCGCCGGACTTGGTAGATGGGGGCAGCCGCCCCGGTGGCATGGCGGCAGCAGCAGCCCTCCCCGTGTCGGGACCATCCTTCGAAGCACGGACGCCATCCGGCGGGCAACAGCAGCAGCGCCGACGCTTAGCAATCGGCGGGCGCAGCTCCAAAGGGGAGTGGTGGCCCCATGGCGCTGGTCGACGCCTTCGATCCATGGCTCCGCGTCACGTGTTTGGGACCAAGGGGACTTTGCGTCGCCAAGTGCTCCCTCTTGGCTCACTCACGGTAGCCATGAGGGCACCCGTAAGACGCTACATCGACTCCGCGCGATTTCTACATCCTCGTGATCGTGTGTTGGTGCAGACTTGGTGCGTTCTTGCACCACGTGCCGGCCGTTAATAAGACGAGAGACGGTTCACCCGCTGGGCTTTGCTGCAGTTTCTAGACGTCCCCACCCAAGTGTGGGCGGATATCTCGCCGACTTCATCGAGGGCTTGCCCAAGGTTGCGGGTAAGTCGGTCATCCTCACGGTGGTGGATCGCTTCCAAGCACGCCCACTTCATCGCGCTTCGCCACCCCTTTACATCGCTACGTCCGTCGCTTCGTGCCTTCTTCGACGGCATCGTTCGCTTTCACGGGTTTCCGTCCATTGTCGCCGATCGGGACCCTATGTTCACCGGCACGCGTTTGGCGAGACATCTTCAAGATGGCGGGGCGTCGATTCGCGCATGAGCACGCTTTTTCCATCCGCAAACGGATGGCCATCCGAAAGTGGTGAACAAGGTCATCGCCATGTACCTCCGTTGTGTGACGGGATCGCTTCAGCGTGGGTGGATTACCGCCGGCGTGAGTAATCGCTACAACACCTCCTTCCACACGGCCGCGCCACACCGTTTGAGGTCGCTTCACGGCCGCCTCCTCCGCCGCCGCCGCCCTTATTCGCCGGCATGCGGCTCGGACCGAGGCTGCAGATGCGCTTCTTCGGCCCCCCGTGATGAGATCCTCGCCGAAATAAGCGCCAACGTCTTTTGCAGGCTCAGCAGTTGTCCAAAAATATTATGATGCCGGCCACCGCGACGTCGAGTTCCAGGTGGGCGACTGGGTGTGGCTGCGGCTGCTCAACCGCACAGCCCATGCACTCTCTCCAGGGGCCAAGGGCAAACTCGGTCCTCGCTATGCCGGGCCGTTCCGCGTCTTGGGGCGTCTTTGGGGCGGTAGCGTATCATCTACTGTTGCCCGAGGGTGCCCGTCTTCATGATGTCTTTCACATTAGGATTGCTCAAGCGCC